GAATGTGAAGGAATTGGATATAAGTGGTATTTTGGAAAATTTGGATATTATTGGCACAACCGTGAAAGTTTTGGATATACAAGTGTATTTAACCTTGAAATTATAATGAGTACTTTTTGGCTTTGTATTTACATTTTTTAAGGACTCTTCAATATATTATGAGTAAATATTTTAGGAGATAGTGCATATTGATTTTTCAGCTTTAAAAATAATGAAACTAGTTAGCATTGGAATGCATTATTAATTTTTTTGGTAATAAACTCGTTTATAGTCAAAATGACATAGTATTTTTATCTTAAATCATGTTTTAAGTAAATCTTATTGTCTTAAAAAAGTGGGTTGGACAATTATGATGATTAAAAGTATTAGTTTTCTTTACTTTGATAATTATTTTTTAGTTTGTTTGTCTTTTTTGATAACACGTGTAAAATAATTTCGGCCCCCCGAAGCTTGATTCCTAGCTCCGCCCCTGATTCTGTCACAAATTTAACAAAAAAAATGACTTAATTTTGACATTACATGCATTGACTAAATACATCGCTTGAAATCACAACCTCCAAACGACTAGGTAACATAAAACTTTTCATATGATGTGCGCTAGGAGGCCTTTCGACACAGACCCTCCGAGTATTAGGGGGTCTCCATCATAGGTCTATTAGTTAATTAAATCATATATTATGTGATGAACTTGTCGTGTATGGTTGATTGGTTATGGTTATGAAGATGTGTTTAAATTTGCTAATTAACACTAGTACTAATGATTGGTAAATATTCTGATTTTTGGTTCATCGTTAAAGTTCTATTTGTGTTCTAAAATAGTAAAATTCATATTTTTCTTATGCGTGATATAATAAAACTTTAATGAATTAACGATGATGATGATGATTATAGAATACAAAAATATTTGGCAACATTTCAGATCTAGAATAGAGCCTCTATAATCCATTGGACACACACACTATTGAATCGCTTTTTTAATGGAAAAACTCTTGAATCACATTGTTATGCAATTGTACCGAGGCAAGAACTCAATCCTTAGCTTTCGAGCTCCAACCATGTATATTGATTACTGAGTCAAGAACTCAGTAAATTTAGATATGGTGCACCACTTGGTTTTTTGAGAACGGTTATTCATCTTACATCTAATGGTTCATAAATAGGGATGGCAATGGGTCGGGTCGGGAACGGATAGTGCATATCCGTTATCCTATCCAAAGTAGTTCGGGTTTTACTCATACCCATACCCGTACATGTGAAACGGGTAGAAAATTAAAACCATGCCCATACCCGTTCGGGTTTCGGGTATCCACGGTTATCCATGGATAATAATTTCTCTTCATAACTCCAACCAATATGATAACATTCACACGTATTCTCACATTACGTAAAAGAAAAAGTACGACAATAGTTCACTAGAATGAAGAAAATTAACTAAAACAACACAATTTCATGAAATATTATATTTATATGCTAAATATAAAATATGTTAGAGAAAAATAATAATTATTTCTAGACAAAATACATATGCATGCGTATAATCGGGCGGGTTCGGGTTGGATAGTTAGAAATCCATCCCCACCCATTACCCGCAATATTCGGGTTCTGGTTTTACCCGTACCCACTAAATGTCCTTCGGGTTCGGGTTTTACCCTACCCGATTAGGCCGGATTTGGGCGGATATCCACGGTTACGGATATTTTTGCCATCCCTATTCATAAAAATGGGTCATTAAATTAAGGGTCAAGATTTATTGGTAAAAAGTAGTAGTGGAGAGTGAGGTCAGCAACTGAAAAGGAGCTGACAAAAAATTGTTTTTTCGGGGCCCACAGACTGAAAAGGAATTGACACAAGAGAGAGTAGAGAATGCAAGTTCTTGAAAATGCTGAATATAATTTCTGTTTTGTACAAATATCTTTTGTGATCAGTAGGAATATGTTTTATATTTAGTAAGAATATGGTTTTTAATGGGTGGTATATTATTTTGAATAAGAGTTGTGAAAATTACGAATATAGAAATCACATATATGGAACATGTTTTCTATTCAATGCAAATATCATTTTTTTTAATACGAATATGATATTCTAATGTGTATATTTGTTCAGTACATATATAACTTTTGCTCAGTACAAATATATATTTTGTTCAATACAAATATGTATTTTGTTTGATACAAATATGATTTTAGTTCAACAAGAATATACATATACCACTTTTAAATAGTAGGGTTAATATTTTCATATGGCCTGAACTTTGACAATAATAAACATCCTGGCCAATCTTTTTGATCTATAACATCCTGGCCCGAACTATACACCAAGATAAACAATTTGGCCAGATCCGACTTTTGACCGTTAACTTGGACGGTCAAACGCGTTGACCGTTAGTCAACGCGCCATGTCGCTGCCAAGTCAACATAAAATATTTAAAATAATTCACAATTTCCACACATTCCCTAAATTTAAATTATTATAAATTAGAAAAATCATCTAATACCTTAGTTAAACCAAAAATAAAAAACGAAAAAAATTAAATATTTGTCAGATCTTCTGACTTGGCAGTGACGTGGCGAGTTGGTCGTTAGTCAACGCGTTTGACCGTCCAAGTTAACGGTCAAACATCGGGTTTGGCCAAATTGTTTATTTTGGTGTATAGTTCAGGCCAGGATGTTATAGATCGAAAAGATTGGCCAAGATGTTTATTTTGGTCAAAGTTCAGGCCATACGAAAATATTAACCCTAAATAGTATGTATAAGTTTTATTTTGTTAAAAATAAATGGCACACATGTCAGCTACTTTTTCAGGTCGTGGGTCTCATAATCCACTATCTATTGCTCTAATAGATCTGAACCTTTAATTTAAAAGAACACTTTTGTGAACCGTTGGATGGAATGAACCTTTCTCCAATATTCAAGTAGTGCACCATATCTCGTTGGAACTCAGTGAAATACAATTGTGTGTATCATTGACTCATTGTAGAGCGTGTGATTTTGTCTTTTATGAATAATGTGTCCATGTGATTTTACATTTCGAAAGAGCACAAATCACCATGAATATCGTAATTCAAACCCCCACGTGATAATTCATACAATATAACAGCATTGTAACTTTATCATAATAATTAATAAAAAACTGACAATTGATTAACCTTTCAGAAGTAGAGTTCATGTTAGTTCCCGAGGGAAAAAAAAATCAAAACTTTAACCTTGGAAGTTGGAATCAATTTTTTTTCCGGAGTGATGCCAATTGCCAAGACAATAATTAGAAAGAACTACTACCCACAATCTCTCTTTATCCCACTAACAAATTACCTTACAAAATGAAAAAGAAGTTAACTCTAACTGAGACAGCAACAAAGCGTTAAGTGCCACTCTATAAGCAGCCCAGTTGGCATTCCACGGAACCATACTAAATTCTATACAATGAAGAAAGACTCAAGAAAAAGACGATAATCTCGAAGGATGACAACTTCGCATCAGCCCAATTGGAATCAATTAGGATAACAACGAGACGGATAATCCACAACTTTTGTCCTCCCATAATTAATTACAAAATTTTCTTAACCGTTAACATTCTTTTATTTTCTTTCCCCGCCATTACATCTAGGGTGAATAAAATAAATTAAAAACCGACTCACCTGCGATATCCGTAAATATCTAATTTTATGGGTGGGTGCGATTTTAGATTTTTTTTTAAATCGTAGCTTTATGATTGGATTTGGATTTGGATGGTTACAATCCAAGATTATCCAAACCGACCCGTCATACCATATTATATATTTAATATAGATTCCTCCATCATAAATTTCATACTTTAATTATTATTTATGTCATTTGTTGACATAGTTAGTGTTTGATAAATTGAAACTCAATTATTTATCATAGCATTATCTTAACATATATACACTTATCTCTGCATCCACTCTTTAAATTTTAATTTTTGAGTTTACTACAGTGTACTAATAAGCAATGCAGTTAAAAGCGCGATTCTACCTAGAAGCGGAAAATGGGTAAAATCGTAAAACGTAGAATCAAAGCGTAAAAGCGTAAGTTTTTTACGCACCCTCTAAAATAGCCAAAATATGTTAAGTACAACATATAGTATGTAAAATGTGAGTGTGTAGATTTTAGATAAGTGAATAACTACATGAAATTCATAATTAAAACGTAATATCTAACACATAAACTAATTTGTGTTGACTCAAAAGTAGAGAAAACTCATCACATCTTAATAATAAGCTAATAAATGTAGATCGTAACCCGTAAAAAAGCTTGAGAATCCAAATTCTCATAAGCTGGTTTGAGTTTACATAATTACATAAGATCAATTACCAATAAACTTTTATCGTAAACCAGGTAAGAGCCACAGGTGAAGATTAAGTAAGAAGACTGATAGAAGGTCAGCGGCTATTGAGAATACCATTAGGTGTCTTTTCAACCAAATGTGAAGCCTCTATCTCGACATTAGTTGTAGAACGAGAGATGAATCATGTTTTCCTTTTTTTATTTTTTGCTGATATGTTTCCAAAATTACATCATTTTGGACCAATTAGCACATTTTTATGAGATGATCAAAATCGTATAAAAACGCTTCAGAATCGCGATTTTACCGATTTTAAGCGATTTTAAAGATTTTACCCATGTTTTTACCAGTTTTTGTAACTAAGCGACTTTAGGTAGAAACTGAAACGTTTTGGTGACCTGGATACGTAAAAACGTAAATTTTTACGTTTTAATGCGCGATTTTGACTGCACTGCTAATAAGTAAAATATTTTTAATTTGTATATTCTAGTATGAATGTAATATGATACTAAAACATTTCATTTGTTTTATTATTTCATATAGTTACATATATGTATTATTCGTCATATTATATTATGAAAGTAAATATGTTGTTCTCGTGTAATGGATTGGATTTTTATCCAACCCGACTCAAACCGCAACTCAAGAAAATCGTAGAGTCTTGAAATTTATGGGTGGATTTGAGTTCATCATTATTCAACCTGAGACTCATGATTTGGGTGATTAAAATGATGAAAACCGGCCCATGTACACCCCTAATTACACAACCATCAATATGGAAAAATCAGTCAATAATTTTTATAATGGGACAAGGAAAAAAATAATACTCTATCACCTACATTGGCGTCCTTCAATTATTTCTGGTCATCTTATATGATTAATTTGCAGCAGCCGCCAACATTTCAGAAGAACTTCCATTAACAGCCGGCTGACCATCAGGCACATTGAACTCCCTGGGAATCAAATACAAAGCGTTCTTCCTCCCCATGGTGGCTGCAAATGACTCTTCCATGTCGAAATCCTCCACGGCAAGCCCTTCAGGGAGCTCCCAGTTAAAATAGTAGAGCAATTGAGCTACAGGGAGCTCAACATTGGCCATCCCAAACGCGATCCCAGGGCATATCCTCCTTCCTGCTCCGAACGGGATCAACTCGAAATGCATCCCTTTGAAATCGATCTCGCTTCCGTCGAATCTCTCGGGAACGAAAGCCTCCGGATCCTTCCACGTCCCGGGGTCCCTCCCGATCGCCCAGGCGTTGACGATCACTTTCGTCTTCTTGGGGATCTCGTACCCGGCAACCACGCAATTCGCTTTGCTTTCCCTCGGAAGCAGCAGTGGCGCTGGTGGATGTAGCCTGAACGTTTCTTTGATCACCGCGCTCAAGTATGGCAGGTTCTGAATGTCTGCTTCCGTGACTACCGATTTGCCCTTCATGGCTTCTCGCACCTCGGCCTGAGCCTTCTTCATCACTCGCGGGTTCTTCACCATTTCTGACATTGCCCATTCCACGGTTGTTGATGATGTGTCTGTTCCGGCTATAAAAAGATCCTGAAATCGAGTCTGTTGTGTTAGATATTATCTAAAAATTGTTCATGCACATCCATCCGTGGCACATAATTATCAATATGTATCAAATTGAGTTTATAAATTACCACAAGGACGGCTTTGATGTTGGTGCTAGTAATGGGACACTTGAAGCCGCCACTCCCCTGAAGCCGGAGAAGAACATCCATGAGATCCTCATCATCCAAATCCACCTCCCCTTTCGCCCTCTTCTCCTCGTGCTGCTTAATGATCCTGTCGAAGATCCGATCCAGCCCGTTTCGGATCCTCAGAAGCTCCGATTTCATCCCCGTAATCCCCTGAAGAAACCCGAGAGACGGGTACAGATCGGCGATGTTGAACCCTGCCGCCGCACGAACCGCCCCGTTCATCAGCCCGACGAATTCCTCCTGATCCATACACTGGTACCCAAACGCGGTCTTGCAGGTGATCGTATTGGTCAGGCTGAGCACCTTCTCGGTTAAATTCACCGGTTTCCCGACCGAATTCCTCACCGACGCGATCATGTCGGAGACCTCTGTTTCTCGAATCCCGCGGAAAGATTGGGTCTTTCTCGGACCCAGAAGCTCCGTCAGCGAAATCCGCTTCATCTGCTTCCAGTACTCGCCGTGAGGGGAGAAGGCGATGTCCTGGCTGCCCCACGTGGCGATCTCGGAGGCGAGGAGGCGGGGCCGGTCGGCGAAGTTGAGGTCGTGGGTTTTCATGATTTCTTGGGCCATCGCCGGGGTGGAGACGACGGCGGCGGAGATTTCGCCGAGCTGGAGGTGGATTAAGGGGCCGTATTCGGCGGCGAGGTTGCGGAGGGCTTGGTGCGGGAGTGCGCCGATGAGGTTGTGTAGGTTTCCGATCAGGGGGAGCTTGGGTGGGCCTGGAGGGAGCTGGTGAGTTTTGGTTGTGTTGTGTTGAGATTCGGAAGAGTGGGTTTTCTGGCAGGAGATTCTGGCCGGGAAGCGGTGGAGGCGGAGGGGAAGGGAAGGCGACGGCGGGGGATTGTTGCCGCCGGTGAATGTTGTTCTGATGGGGGTGAAGGTGAGTGAGGCCATTAGTTTGGTTGGCAGAGGAGGAGGAGAAGAAGAAAAACAGGGGAAATTGGAAACAGAGACTGTTGGAAATGTGTTATGTTGTGATGATGGGCGGGATTGGGATCTCATAAATAGGAGAATGGAAATATGGGAGTGAAGAATGGCGGCTGATTTGGGTTTTATGACATTGTCGAATTACAATTTTAAAACAATAAATATCCGCATAACAAAAAGTTGGAGAAGATGGAGTATGATTGATATATCAGAATTCAGAACCAAATATTAATATATTATGCATTCTCAAAAATCTATAGGCACCATCCCCCCCAACAATCATGTTTTAGTTATTGCCATATATGTGGAAAAAATTCTTAAGATTTGGATATTAGTTGACTCTTTTTTTAAAATATCGTTTAGAGAATATGGGGAGAATGAGCAAATTTGTGATCTAACAGATAATATAATTATTGAGGGATATGAATCATAGATAAAAATGTTGAAGCAATGAGAGCATATTTGTACTATACAATCTAGTGATTAGGATGGGAATGCTTAAAACGGTAAATTCATACAAAAATCATCACTTTTTATAATAGATTATGAGAAATTCATACTAAATTAAAATTATGTCAATCGGACTTATTTCAATAAAGTCATTGTTAAATTTGATCTCATATTCATAAAGGTGAGTTCTCTTACCATTCAGGTAGTAACCGAAACATATCTGAAGCATACTTGCTTGCTAATAGACAAATGATTATAATACAAATACTTAAAATACCAAATCAAATTAGTCTATAAACGACTTTACTAAAGGAATTTGGTTATGGTCCTATGATATTTTTTTATCGCTAGAAGTTATATTTCAAATAACGTAATTTCAATATTCAAATAATATGGTTAAAATATTCACACAACATGAATATCTTATTCCTTATAATGAATATTCTAAGTATATGGTATAAATACTGATACATTATATTAGTATTATCAAAATTTATTTAAAAAATATATAAAATATAAGTATTCATCCAATTAGATTTTTAAAATATTTTATACAACCATTGTTCACCAAATATTCAAAAAATAAAAGTCTAGTAATAGTTAAATTAAAAAAATTATATGAAGAATATAGTGTAAGCACCGTAGCCAGATTATTAGCCAGGTACCGGCAGCAACGATGGATGGGTCAAATCAGATTCGTCGGGTTGGTGGATATAATATCTACTAGGTTAGTCAAGAGCCATCGCCATTGTCAGATCTGCCGGCGCCCATCGCACGACGGCTACAAATTTTTCATCGATTTTCCTTTAAACTAACATTTTAGGTTTCGTGGTCTAAGTGAGAGAGTGATTAAAATAACTTAGGAGATGGAAATCTTTCTGCGGCCGATATTTTGGAGCAAGTTAATTACCTTACCTTATTGACCATCAAACCAAGTGTTTAAGGCGGTGCTTCCGGTTCCAGGGTCTAGATAGAGTGCATAACTCATGATTATACATTAAGTGCACAGAGCATTTGGTGTTGAGTGAGATTAAATTTAAAAGATAATATTAAAATTTTTATTTTTTGTACTTTCTTAATTGCCTTGCATCTTTTTTTTTTTGTCTAAAACCGTAAATCTCCTCAGGCAGATATGATTCTCACGAAGTTCGACTGTCCAAATCGCTCATGAAGATCAAGCCATATTTTGTCATAAACCAGTTGGTCCCAATAACTCGAGTTGTTGGGAGAAGTTTATGTTGGATCTTATATTGGCCCATGTATGGTACTTAACCACTTCCTTACACGCCCCCTCGAACGAAAGCCAACTCATGGGCTTGAAGTTTGCACAGGCCCGTCATACCATGTGCTTGACAACGGTTAATATTGGGGGTCGTGAGGACTTGAACACGTGACCTCGAGGACAAACCAGCTCTGATACCATGTCATAAACCAATTGGTCCCAATAACTCGAGTTGTTGGGAGAAGTTTATGTTGGATCTTATACAGGCCCATGTATGATACTTAACCACTTCCTTACATATTTTTCTAGCGGAATCCAACCAGAGAATGAATTGAGCGATTGTTAATTGGCTCCAGTGTGCGGTAGATCCACTCGAGCACCATGCGATTTGCTCATGCCCAAGCCTGAAGTAGCGGATCGCCATCTTCGGGACGCGACACTTCACCGTTGATGAAAACGATCTTGTTCTTGGCCAATAGCGACATGCATGCACATCGACCTCGCCTAAGGAATCGGACCAGCTACTTATGGAGCTGCCATCATGGAATTGAAACTTCAAGAATTTGAAAACGAAACGACAGAAGAAACCAAGAACGAGCTCTTGGCTCTGATACCATGCTAGATTCCAGGAATTTTGAAGAAGAAAAGAATTTCTGTATTGGGAGATAACTGTGTTGATTTGTCTGTACACACTATACAGCCCTTTTATACATGTAAACCAAATTACTAATCTAATACCTATACTATGAATTACAAATAACTACACTATTTACATATTAAAAAATTACATTTTGATCATCATCTATATAATCTAACACATCTAGAGAGAATGTTCAAACTTATTTGTAACATCTGAACACAGTAGCTGTTATCTTATTATTAGCCGCCTGAAGAACTTTCAAGGGCACCTTCCTTTTATGTATATGCGCCGCCTTCTGCAATTGAATGGTGTTAAATCCACTATAAGATAATTTACTGATTTCCCCCTTTTATTTGGTTGAGGAACACCCAGAAAAGAAAAAAACAAAAATTACACTTCACGGTCCACATTCATAAACTAGCTACTATGACTATCTATCAGATGGGCTCCGTTCAATAAACCAGTAGATGGGCCGAAAGAAACAAGACCCAAACAAACACAAAGAACCCGGCCCACCCCTACAACACTTAGCCATCCGTAATACCGTAACCCCTGAATTGTTATGATTTTATTCTAGGGTTTATTTTTGCACTTACCCATTAGCCAAGTCCTTTTGGTCCTTGATTGTATTCAAAATCCGAATTGTTATAATTTTATTTTTGCACTTAATCATTAACCAACTTGTTAGTCCTTGATTCTAGTATGTACCCGGCCAGTTGTCCGGAAGATTTGAGTTTATTATTTAATAAAAAATCCCAACTAATATTTTTTTTAAGGATTCTCAATTGAATATTTTAATCGTAAATTTTTTAAGTCTTGATCATACTATGAGCACGTTTTTCAGTAATGTCATGGTATTCTCATCCCTCTTGTACATTAAGAAAAAAATTATATCTTTTCCAAATTAATGTCGTTCGGTCACCTAAATTCAAGAATTATAAGTTGGGCTATGCACCTGTATAGCTTATATAGATTTTCGACTCCATGATGGCGGGCAAAGAAGTTAAGTGCTTAACTTAACCTTGTAGGCATTTCCTTTCGAAAAAACCTTCATCATTTGACAATGTTTATGTCGCGTTATTTTAAGTTAATCATAATTCACAAACACAAAAAAAAAGTGAAAAAAAAAAACTTAACACCTACACTTTCACTTTCTAGAATTAACCAATTTAGAATTATTGAAGATCAATGAAAATCATAAACAATAAATATTACCAAATAGGAATCAATAAAAAAGGAAAGGGTGGGTTTTTAACTAAAAAAAACTATGCTACATTAGGAATTAATTTAATGAAATGGTCCTTCTTGCATCATGGTGCCGGACTGCCGGCCAACGTTATACAAATTAAGTAGAAGAGATGGAAATTGAGAGATTCAGGGATTGAGGCACCCAAAATGAGATGGTGCTCGGTAAACACTAAACACCTATTTCCAATTCCTCTACTCTGGCGTTCGGTAAGCAGTCCTCGCATCTGCCGTACACTGTTGACTCGTCCAGTCCGGCGTTTGGACCTGCTGCTGTCAAAATTTGGTACAGAGAAGCTCCGGGAAATAGAGCTTCCGAAAGGACCACCTAAATGAACTGCAACTAAATAAGACAGAAAGCAGGAGTTGGGTGCTTGTAGCTAACCGCGAACCGTGAAACTGAAGCTGCAAAGTGCTTCCCCGTTGTCGGCAGCGGCACACAGAGCGCAGTTAGAAGTTCTTCCCCGGCGGCCAATGCATGAGTCCCTCCAAATTTGCACGAATCTACACCCTAATCGTTTGTAAGCATATCGGGCCTGATCCTCTTTTCCAGAAAAGCCAACTGGGATTTATATTGTGTGCCTAATGAAAGGCCCAATGTTGAGTTTTGGAACCACCATGGAGCTAATGACGGTGTGGGCGGGAAGTAAAAAAAAAAAAATGAGGGACTTAATGGACCAAATTACCCCGACGAAAATTAAGGGGAGAGCTCCATTTTTTGAATGGTGAAAATGCTGCAAAACTCCACCATTAAGTAATCTATTGATTGACTATTGACTTGATTGGATTTAAAACGTGATTTATATATTTTCTTACGGAGTGACTTATACTTTGTAATTAGAAAGTTATGTTTTTTTTCCTTTCTTATTATTTTTTATCAACTAACCGTAAGTAATGCAAGTGACGCAAACCTAATTTAGTGACCCAAATTTGGTCTAACAAATTGCTAATTCAGTTTGGCAAAAATGTCCCTTTTCCACATATCAACTTCTGTAAATATATATACTAGAAAAGTACTCGCGCTCTGCTGCGCATGGTGGGAGACGTGATCTGATTTATATCAGTAGATGTTCAATTTTGTATTTACATTATTTATATTAAAAAATTTCTTGATAGTGTATTTTTCAATGAAGCTTGTCATTATTCAAAATTAGACAAAAAGAAGAAATAATAATTAATTATATCAAAAGATGGTATTCAATGTTTAAGAAATCTTATCGTGGCAGTCAGTCGAATCGGAATTACCGAATACCAAACCAAATTAGCAAAAACAAATTTGATGAATCGGTTGGGATTATCATTTCATCAAAAACACCAAGGACTTTACTTGCAACAAAACTCTGCCCGTTGAGCTTGGAAACTAATTTACCAATACATCAGAGTACCTGGTTATCTATCAATCAAAGTTTCAGCAGCAACTATCAAAGGGTTTAAAAGAACTGAACTAAGACAATAGGATCTACAAAACTACAACCATCCTAATATCTCTCTTAAGTCTTAACTAACAGAATCAATTCATTCATATCTAACTTCTT